AACTGCCATGTGATTGGTTGATTAGATAATTGCATTAATGAGAAATTGAACAGGTGTTCCTAATAATCCTTTAGGTGAGTGTATGTATATTTCATGCACTTAAGGACATTTTATTCATTTCTTTTGTTTGTTTGTTTTTCTGTTAATACAACATATGTAAAACTTACCTGTAGTTTGTCTGCTTTCATACTGTTCCGCTCAATGCAAATTTTGATGTTCCTATCTCCAGTGGAGAATCTAAACTTTTGATGTGCTGGTCCAGAAGTAAACACATAGTAGCATAGGTACTTGTAAGCTCTATCAATTACTATTAATAGTGAGAGCGGAGGTGGGCTACACACCTATCCTCACGTGATCAAACCACCCCATGCAATACACCTCATACTGGCCAAAAAACATTATACACCCCAACGTTATGAATGGCTCCCAAAGTCTCTGAATCAGGTTTGTAGGTCACAGAGCTATATTTGTGCTTTAATTTTCTGTATTCTTAAATATATGTATACATTTTGATTAAAATGGTTCTTATGTATCTTAGTTTTGTCTGATGTTTTTAAACCTTGACTTAGGAAACCGTGCAAGAAATCCAATGTAGGCCTACTTGTATTTCTGTGCCTGTGTAACTGGCACATATAGTTTAAATTGAATTAAATGAGTGAAGTGTGGATGGATCTGGGCCATTTACTGCCATCTGTTGGAAGTTAGGAAGGCGAGCTGAGAACCAGAGAAAGCAGCTGCCTTTTCACTCAGATAAGCATATGTGCGAAGCAGGAGTAGCCAAACTTTTCCAGAAATGTGGGTTTTCAAAGGAGCTCCCTAATTAGAGGACTGATTGTAGAGGAGTCCTCACACCTGGGCCTGAGCAGCTGACCTAATCCAGGGGCGGTTCTAGGGAGGGGTCGTGGGGAGCAGTGCCCTCATGACCCCCGTAAATAAATATGCTACTTAGGTCTGAAATAAATGTGTTGTTATTATTTACATTTATATAAGTGAGCTAAAACTTTGTGCACTGGGAACAGGCGAAACAAACATGGGTGCAGTGGGAGGTCAAGTCGCTTCGTTTGGTGAAAAGCGAAGTTAATAGGAAAAATAATCAAGCTTGCGGAAGCAAGACAGACTGAACAAGAAATCGGAGTGAGTTACATATTTTGTAAAAACTGTAAAATGCGACTGCAAAGCATTGCATAAATAACTTCGGTTTTCATAATTGTCTTTTGCTTATTAATGCTGGCAATGTAGTGTATGTGATACCTGGAGGACATTAAGGTCAAATGCAACTGCCCCCCCCCACAGAACAACTGGCCCCAGTCAGCCCCCAGGTAGAATGGTCTAGAATCGCCACTGAGGTTATCCCAAAAACCTGCCCCTTTGTGAATAAGACCCCTGTTATAAAGTGACCAGATCAGATGCTTCAGACACTGCCTGCCTAAATTTAAAACATGGGTTTATGTTCTTCATAGTTATGCTTCAGTACTGTGAATATAAAGAACAATTTAAAAGCTCTTAAGGTGAGCGGCTTTTGGCTGATATTTGGGCACCTGTCTGTGCGCTAACCATACTGTGTTTAATCATGTGAACAGGCAGAGTGTAGCCCACACGGCTCCTTTGAAGTGCAACACATGGAGTGGAGCATTCATAAGCGGTTAGCACCCCACTGGCCGGGACCTCCGCGCACTCTCACCCTCCCACCGATCTAGAACCTAAACCCCTTCTGTAAACACACACACACAAGTACACACAGACACGCACAAGCACACACACAGACACAAGCACATGTACGCACATACACACGCACACCTCCACTCACTGAGGCAAGACAGCTGACAAAATATTTAAAATGTATCTACAGAGGGCTCCTATGTTGTACGTTGCTGCTTTACTTTTAATGAAGCAGATTTTCGATAAAAACAAGAACAACTATTACATCACACGTAGGCCTGTCATTGTGTTATTCAAGAAGAAATAATTCTCAAAATCACACCAATTCATAAAATAACCATCAATTAGGAACATCGGGCAAATGATGACATGAGAAGGGAGATGCTGCTTTAAGAAAACGTATGACTCAACTCGATATGAAAACTCTATCTCAAAACAGCCTCCACAGCGTGCAGCAAATTTTTTGTCACATCAATTCATATTTTTATGCAATTAGAAATAAAGCAATATTGAGCACAATGAAGAAGACTTGCGTGCGTCTTTAATGAAATCTTTACAAATCGGGCATCATTTATTTAACTTTACGGTGTAGGTCGGCGAATTGCAGAGTACACAGCTTCAGTGAATTCCTCATTTCTCGGGCTTCTCGGGGACTCGGGTTTCATTTCGATTCCAAGATTCTGGAAATTCAGTATAGTCGTTTATTTTTAAATAGCATATACTGTCCGAGATTAAGGATAGAAACACGCTCACATATAGAGTGATTTCGCCTAAACGTGGGAGTTATAGTTAGTATTAATGAGCATGTAACCTCATGCCGCTATGTTACATGTATTTATTAGTAGTCCCATTTACTACAATAAATTACACATAACGCTTTCAGAATGTACTGCATCGTATGTTTTTGCTTATTTCACTCCTTTCAATCTTCTGGCTATTTTGATTGTTACATGATGAACATATCAAATCGAAATAAAATCTAAACGCGCCCGAAGGAACGAGAGGGGTCACCTGTCCTTGGCCGCCGCGGCTGTCAGGGCGCGGGGATTTTAATCTGACGTTCAGCGTCGCGTACTGGACCTCGGACTCCAGAGCATCAGATACCTGCGGGCAGCGACAGCACAGCAAAGTTACTACTGCCGTTACTGTTAGAAACCTTCGCCATTCCATCAAATGGAAATTATGTTTTACGGGTCTGGATCCCCGAGTGCATGGAACGTACCTGACAATCGTTTTCGCCGGTGCTGGAGGCCGGTTTAGTTCCTGAAAATTATTTAGGGCTTTTAGTTTACAGTATATAAGAGAGTGGTAATAGTTATTGGTGTATATTTTTTTTTCTTAAACGTAAATCCAGTGTTCGTATTTTATTAGTTGGGTGAAAGTTAAGCCTTATTTGTTTAAAGCTTATTCAGAAAATCTTTCACGGCAACAATGACCTAATTAGACTACATATTTTACACTTTAATATTTTATAGCTGTTTTAGTAATATGCCTACATGTACGTGGCCAACCTATGTTATGAAAGGTTTTTAACATATTGTAATTTCCCGTTTAAATTGGGCATACTTTTGTACTTGCAGCAAATTAGGAAGCCAGTTCCCACAGTTAACGCCGCCATCGACAGCGCCGTCCACAAAGCGATGAAGAAGATGTGCTTTCGGGTATCACTGACGGCAACTGAGTCTGATACAAAAAAGACGTGATTTAGATGAACCTACATTTCTCTGTTTTAACGTTTTTAAGATACAAAATTATGCTCTTCGTGGCCGATAAAATTTCAGCATGTACTGGCTAACGGTAGCCTATATCTGATGTAAGTTTTATTATGCAGCTGCTGGCGCGTTCCAAACTAAATCTCATTTTACTTAAATTGACAATAAAGCATTTTTATTTTTACATTTTAACGTCTATCATGCAGTTTTAGGATTTACACAGACAGCCTACAGAAAGTATTTCCCGAGAGCGCAGTTAATGACAGTTTTTAAGAAACAATGTTGAGGAGATTTCGCGAATCCTTCTTACCTCTTACAATAAGAACAGTGCCGTTTCCTTCCATATGTGATAATCGGGGTATTTCTAGACTCACTTCACAAACGTACGTACCGCTCTGATTACTTCGTACGGATGTTAAGTTTAGACAGACGAATCCGTTCTGGATTCCGGTTACGTTTACAATATCTGTGGTAGTAATTAATAAGTTGCTCTTCCAGTTAACCCGAATTCGCCCCCCTGCAGCGAAGTTACCCTGATAATGACATTTCATGGTAACATTACTGCCCGGCGCCACTTCCATCACCTCCGGCTCCTGCCGAACGGAGAAGAGCGCAGGGGCCGCAGCATTACCTGAGTACAGACAAGTGAAGATATTTCAGCAAATTACCACTCAGCGTGTGAAGAAGTGTTATCTGCGAATTATCGTTTCAATTTATATAATGAGTACGGTTCAATATGATTCATTATCTTTCAAAAAACAATAGTTTTCTTTAAGCACGTAGGTTTGGTTTCAACATTCGCAGGGACCTCATCGGCCCCGAACCCCCCGCCCCCTTAAACCATCCATATCCAAATGTACACTATTGCTTTGCTTAAAGTTTACTTAGGAAATATATAAAACGATCGTCGAAATCAAACTCAGATTTTCTTCCTGTAATCAACAAGCACAAATATATACGTGTTTCTTACCTGACGTGCATTTCAGATTAGAAATTAATGACAAAAAAATAAACCAAATCATTGTGTTTTGGCAATAGGCCCACTGATTGTTAGTAGGGAGTTCATCAAGACACAGAGGTTAAATCAAATTTGTATGAAAATGTAACAATCTTCTTACAGAAGTTAAGTTGCAACCTTGTTGCAGTGAGCTGTGAAAATGAGGTTTTAGCGTCACAAACCTTTCGCTTTATTCGTTTCCTTTCTGACGTATGTGTGTGGAAAACCACCCGCATGGCTGCTGCTACACAATCGCTATGGCTTCGTATTAAATACTGGAGAAAGTTTATAAGTTTCATGTTATTTCATTAACTTTTTTGAACGTATGCCTGTATATTTTTTTCAGCGTTAATCCTTCTGTGGTTGAGCTGAATCTTTTAATAGTTTAATATAATAGTTGATTATTATTATTGTTATTAATAATCATAATAATAAAAACAACAACAATAATAATAGTTTTATATTCGTTCGTAATGTTAATTTTTATATTAATATTAATATTAAATTGCAATATCAATATCAGTCTGACCTTAGTGGTGATTAAGAGACGGTTGTAAGGTAAGTTTGGGCTTAAATAACTACCAGTATAACTCAGAACATCCTGGTGATTATAACAACCCGCGTGATTCTGAGGGAGCTACACCACTTGATAGTTACAGACATGAGTGGATTACGACTTCGGGCCACAGGGCCCCGACCCAAGGGCCCCGAGCGAAGTCCCCCGCTTTGGGACCGCGGTCCGTGGCCGTCCCACAGCTATGGCCGTGCTAGTTATTTAATAAGAGCCAGAGCTGTCTTACATACTACACCGTATCTGGCCAACCGTGGTTTCTGGGGGCCCAAGGCTCCTCCACCTCAAAAGGCTCATGCCCACACTCTCAGAAAAAGGGTAAAAATTTGAAACTTTGCTTGTCACTGGAGCTGTACTATCAAGGGTCTGCCAATTGTGCCCTTAGCTGTAGGTAATTGTACCTTTTAAGGTACAGAAATGTTCCTCATAGTCCATTTCTGTATCTTAAAAGGTTTGGTTGTTGGTACATTATTACATCAGTGGTACATAAATGCTGTTTGTACCATTGGGATGCTCCTCTGAGTCCATTTCAGAACATTAAAGGGTAAAATTACAAAGGAACAGCCCCAGTGACAAACAACAGTACAATTTTTTACCCTTTTTCTGAGAGGACATGGGCCTATGATTTCTTAATCTACCCACGGTTACAATGTACCGATGTTTCCAAATTAACAGGCTGCTGATTAATTTGTTCATGCTCTAACCTCTTTACATGGTGCGCTGGCGCCTCTCGCAGGCAGTGCAGGGCACATGGCTGGGGGAAGTCATGGATGGAAGGCCTGTCCCTGGAGTGATTGTGGATTAAGGGCCTTGCTCAGAGGCCCAACGGTGACATCGCTCCACCAATCACGGGACCTTCTGATCATGATCCCAGTGTCCCATACCTGCAGAGCCACACAGCACCCCACCTAGAGAGCTGTGGTCAGGGGCGCTGCTAGAGATTTTGAGCCCCAGGGAAGTGTATCATATTGTGCCCCCAACCCAGGTCAATCCAATTATTCTCCAATTTCTGTTATTTATGTTATTTCCAGTCATGTGACTTAGCAAGCATGTTGAGTGATTCTGCCGGCATAACATGTTTTGTCAGTATTGCCAGTAATGTTCTTATGAGAATCATTGTTACCCATATTTAGGCAATTGTCTTATAGCTAAATGTCAGGGTCAGTACCGGACAGTCCCTGCCCTTCATGTCACTTCCCCACTTTGCCAGCAGGTGTTGCTGACCATCCTATTCCATCCCGTCTTTGTACTAGAGCCTTGTGTGTTTCCCCTGCTCCCCAGACCATAGCTCAACAGGCTGAGCGTGTGGCACAAAGGCTGTAACTCTGTAGCTCCCTGTGTTGCTCTATTTCCCTAGTGTGACGATCGGCAAGAATAGAGCAGGCAGACCCCAATATGCGGGAGCAAGCGGGTTTATTATATCCTCCTGAGACCCAAGGAAAAAAGTGTCCTTCAATTGTAGGTTATTTGTCTTTGGAGGAAATAAGACATCTTACAATTTAGATTATTTTAATTTCACAGCATGTCCTCTTTAGTGCACAACAAGAATAAATACGTTTCCCAACATCAGTGAAAAAATAAATGCAAAAATACAATGTCCACTACAATGGACATAAATGAATAGGTCGGGTCTCAGGAGGATATAGATCGGGCACAAACAAATCCAGAGGGGCAATCCAATCGGGCAGTTGGGTCACAGGCTGAAGTCGGGTTCCGGGAAGATCAGTCCTACACCAAGGGGCGTGACGAGGAGACGAGAGGCAGGAAGGAGCAGGGTCTGCAAGGCAACGGGGCGGGATGGAGGAGGCAGGTAGGCAGGACACAGCAGGCAGGACGAACAGGGAGAACAGGAGACAAGGAGAGTGCTCGGTAAGGCTCATTCAGAAAATGGCAACAATACTTTGTGAGTAATGTCTTGACAGCCAATCTTAAGTAACGAGGTGATCAGCTGGAGATCACCTGCCGGTGTTCGGCCCCGTCCATGTAGGCGTGACACCTAGTTGTTATCTTTCGATGATTTTGTAGTTAGTTCTTGTTTCTCCCATTTGCTTTTGATCCCACGTGTCCTTTTATTTTGTGATTTGCCCCTTGCTGTTCCATTTTGTCTAACAAACCACTTTTGTCTTAGAGCCTTAAGAGGATCGTCACCCTTACTTCTCCCTGCACCATGCCCCACCACTGCAACAGATAATTATTCTCCCTTTTCATAGTGAAAACAGTGTCAGGGCCCCAACCTAGCAAGGATCCATCCTTATTCTTGGATGGAACCTGACCCTTCCCTGGACATCCTCAAGTGTATATTACAACTGCATTAGATAAATACCAGTTGGTTTCATTACTTCATTACTACTATTGCGAGTTCAATCTATACTGAGCTTTTCTCCATGTTGTTTAGATTGATAACTGCCATTCGATTTCTGACCTGCTATCTGTTTTCTCGACACTCTGACTTGGTTTCTGATTCTGGTTTTGTTTCTGACCTTCTCTGTTTTTCTGCCTGTCTGTTGTCAACCTTGAGTTTTTGGATTCTGTTTTTGGTTTGGGTAATAAATGGCCATCGGATATTCTACGTGTGGCTCTCCACCTAATTTGTTACAGAATACCATCCTGTCCTGCTAGGAGGAGAATTTGAGTGAGCTGGTTCAGACCCTGCATTGAACAATAACTTCTCTAGGTTGACTTTTACTGCAGCACCTCAGATCTGTGTTCCACCATCTGTGCCTTCCACTCCATCCCTCACTGATTCAATGGCAACCAGAACCAAAATCGCCTGAGAAGTGTGACATTAAAGGCCCTGCCAATTTCTGCAATTTTCTGCAGCACAAAGCAAAGTATGAGCTGAGTGCATCGTGCATTTTAGCGAACCTGTGCCCAGAGTTCAAATTTATTAAACTTGTGCATGCTGTGATCTGACATATTTTTGGCACAGCCAATAGGAAACTCATGGGAAAAATGGAAGAGAAAACTGTCTTGGCAGTGGGGCAGCATGATTCTAGGTATTGTACCACCGGAACATGCTGGAAAAATGTAAATTGCCTATTGTTTGTGTTATTGTTAATACTTGCTTTGTTCATGATTGTTGTGGGTGCCCTTCTTGTGTCTTGCATGAACCCTGTCTGGTCGTCACATTGCTTTAGCTATAGTATAAATTACCCACCGTGTGTATACCTTACAGTCCAGCTTTAGACCTCCCTGGCTTTCCCCATTATGTGGTTCAGTGGTTGTTTAGTGCCTGTGTTTGTCTTTTTAAGGGCTTCATAAAAGAGTGTTGCTCTCCTTTAAAATGTGCCTTCTCATCTGCTACCATGATGCCTTATTTTGCCAGACATTATACTGGTGTCAGAAGTGGGATGCCGGAAGCGGCCCCACTGGCACTATTGGAGCGGGTCCTCCTGGACTTTGATCTGACAGCCTGCTCCAGACCTATGGAAGGCTGTGGAGTGGAAGAGACCGCAGCGGCTGATTGCATGTTGATGACTTTGAGTTTTGGGGTTTTGTTTTGGTTTTGGTTAGAAAGCAGCCATGGAGACCTTCATCTGATTCGTTACACCCAGTCACTTCCGTCTGCAAATTAAGTTTGCAGTCTACGTTTGCCAGTCTTTACTTGGAATGCCAGGAATAGACTACCAGAATACAGCTGCTCTCCTCCCGTGCTCCTCCTTCCTTGGGTCTGGAACAGATCCAGAGGGTGTAAATCTCTGCAGCCCTCTTTATGCCCACCCATCTCTCTCTCTCTTTCTCTCACCCACTCTCCCCTCCCTCTCTCTCCAAGAGAGATTGTATTTACCCTTAAAAATAATTTAGTCGCTCCTCAGCTGTAGGGCAGCCCTTCCCACAATCCTTACTCAGACCCAGTGAAGGTCGTTCACTCTTTCGCAGTTTGTAGCTGTATTCATATTACTGCAAATTTTAAGTGAAATTTTTATCTTTGCTTCTATTTGTCGTCTTTGCCTGCACCAATGTCGCTTGGGGCGGCGGAGCGGAATGTCAAGCGTCCACTGGATGAGAACCAGTGTCGGCGAGACGAGGCAGAGGAAGCCCCCCCACTACGGAATTACCTGGCCTTCACCATCTTCACCTGCTTCTGCCCCGCCTATCCCATCAACATCGTGGCCCTGGTCTTTTCCGTGTTGGTGAGCACCTGTGGGAATCTGGGTCCGGGCACCCAGTCATCTCATTAGGCTGGAATAGTGCTGGGTACTGCGTGGATATCACCCATTATCATTAGAATGGGAAGCACCTTGGGAAAACCCTATACCTGAAGCCTAACCTTAACCCTAATCTAAACCCTAACCCTAATCTAAAACCTAACCCTAATCTAAACCCTAACCCTAATCTAAATCCTAACCCTAACCCTAATCTAAACCCTAACCTTGGCAGTGGCAGCAATCATTGGTGGTTATATATAAAACTCAGTGTGTTGTTATATTTTCTTGTGTTCTTATATTTTGACTGTTTGTTATGTATGTTTCACTGCTGGCTGTTTTTAACTTGTGCTGTTTTCATTTTTGTGTTTCGTCTCTTGTTCAGCGCTTGGTGACATCTTTCTGTGAAAGGTGCGATATATTAATAAAATGTACTTACTTACATCCTATGTAACCATGGAAATCCCTGGATCTGCAGAGGAACACTCTTCCTGTCTTTGTAATTCTGCATTTAAACAAAAAAATAGAAAAATGACATTTTAAATGGTCTCAGATTATTGGTGCTGAGTTTGTGCTGAATAAAAGCATTTGTAGCATTTTGGGATAAATGTTTTTAGATGTCAAATATCTAAAATATCGGGGCAGTGGTGTCTTAATGGTTAAGGATGCGCACTTGTAATTGAAAGATTGCTGGTTCGGATCCCCCCAAGCACTGCTCCCCGGGTGCTGAATTAGCTGCCCCCTGCTATGTCACGATGTCACATATGGGTTAAATGCAGGGGACACATTTCATTGTTGTGTGCTGTGTCGGCATTGACCACTGATCACCAAATTCTAAAAATATTTAAAAATGTCAAGGCATGTCAGATTACCTCGAAAGTGACCGGGAGGCCTCACACTCCAGAAGGTTAAATGTCTTACATCACTATCAGAACTTAATCACAGCACTGTGGAGACAATACAGAACAGCTTACAGCCCACACTCATGATGTAGGTACAAAGGTGCTGGCTTGTTTGGATGTCACTCACCAGCTTAGTGGGTGTTCCCTGTATAGGCAAAGAATGTCAATGACTTTCATAAGCAAGACACTTGGCAGAGTTAAGTAAATATTGATCATGCATTTTAATCACACTTGGCTTGCTTTGCTGTATACATCTTCCTACAGCAATGCAGCGGCTACTTTTGCAACTGATGTGGTCTGCTAATGTCACGCTTTGCAAAAATAGATCTATTTACGACTTCAGGTCTGTGGGATGCTGCCATATGCTGGCTGCAGCTGCATGATGGCGAGAAGCTCCTACGCTGGTTTCTTGTGACCGACGTGTAGGGGCTCCCTGGGCCAGGCACACGCGCACTGGCGGTCTGGTGTGGGATCCAGAGCTGCGTGTTGGCCTAGGCGGCTAGGAGACTTGGTGGGCCCTGCACGCTTGGTCCTGTTGATAACTTTTTATTTACCCTTTTTGGTGGTTATGACATGACCTGTGGGTGCAGGCCTTCTGCAAACGGGTGAGAACTGATGCGGTAGGCAGGCTGTCGTGCAGCCTCCCTGCCCAAACCCTACCCCGCCCCCTCACATGTAAAAAAGTACAGTGGCACACATCGTGGGACACCAGCTTGCCCCCTTGTGGTCCTCATGGGCTCTAATGAACATCTCCCACTCATCTTTGTGAATTTCTTCGGAAACCTCTGAAAAGCCGCCGCGCTCACCCGTACGAGCCCCTCCAAAGGAACCATAACCCGGCAGGAAGGAAGAGATCGCTGCGGTTCCGTCTTCTGTCTTTCATCCCGTGATCAGTGCAATCGCGCGGTGCACACGGGGCACCTGCCTTTGTTTGTCTCACAAAAGCTTCCTTCTCCATGCATGTATCTAGGTCACATTTAGAGCTGCCTTTTTGCCCCCAGCTCCTTTTCATTGAATTTAAAACATTGACAAAAACATTTTTTTGACAGTTAAACAGATCAATGTATTTTCGTGAGGAGTTTGAAACAGAGAGTGGCTGGAGGTTTATGGGATATAAGTGTCGTTTGGGATGTGGCTCCAGGGAGCCCCTGTGCAGACTGGGCCAGGAGCCCCTGGTTGGTCCCGCTAGTTAGCGCCAGTCATGCTGAGAAACCACCAGCTTGTAGAAGAAATGATGTCCTTCAGCAGCTGGTCAAACCCCTTCCTATGGGCTTTGTTATGTATTTTATCCCTGTTTTCTGACTCTGTCTTCATATGGTGCAACCACTGACTCTTACTGGGGAAGCGTACTGGTCTCACCAGAGGTGTTTGATGGCTGTCTGGCTGGACCGCGGCCTGGCGCAGCTCACAGGAGGGCGTTTGAATATCTTGTTCATTGTCACATGCCACCACAGACTCATTATGAGTGTGCAGACATTGGTGCTTTTAACAGAAGGAAGCAACTAATCTGATATCTCCACTGATAGTGTGAATAAATGAACTGCTCTGACTTATTGTGGGTGTGAGAGCAGCCTCCACATAGTACGGCCGGAAGCTCGCTGATAAAGCTGCAGAGAAGCGGTGCCAGAAGCAGTGTTTGCGGATCCGAGCCTGTAGGTGGTGCTCTTCAGCCCGCTCTGCATTTCCGTGTCTTAGGTCACGCTGACATGTCAGCATCCTCGTGAGAGTGCCCTCTCTCCTTCTCTCGGTCCAGCTCAGTCACCGGTGGCTCCTTCTACTCTGGGTTCATTCGTTTCTGATGCCTGGTTTAATTCACTCCCGTAACTGCCGTATCTGGGATCCACCCGGGCCTAACTGTCTCTCCCCCCCTGTGCCTGTCCCCCTGTCCCTCCTCCCCCCACCTACAACCACCCGCAGTCACAGAACAGCCACGCCGAGGGGGACTACGAGGGCTCTCGCCGGCTGGGCCGCAAAGCCCTGCACTTAGGTATCGCCTCCATTGTCATCGGCCTGCTGCTCATAGCTGTCTACTGCATCGTCCACTTCACCACGGTATGAGCTTTGGGCCCGTCTTTGCCTGCCCCCCTCACTGCCAGCAACCTCAAGCTCATGTACCCCCCCCCCCCAATCGCAGAAAGGCCGCCGGCAGCTGAGGCTTGAGTCATGTCCATCTTTGCTCGTAACATAACATCCTAATCCCCATGGGGTCCGGTTACACGGCCCCCCAGCCAGGCTCGGCACGCACCCACTCACATCTCTTCCCGCTGCTTCCTACACTTGCGCAGCCACATGCTACATGACCCTAAACAAATATAATCACAGTACCATCCATCTGTAAGCCATACTGGTTACCTGCTATGGGGGCGAGGTGATTATCGTAAAAACTATTTACATATACAGCAGTGCATATAGAGGTCATGATTCGTTGGTTTAAATTTGGTTCACAGTTTATGATCAGGGTGTACGGTGCCACGGTGGCTAGAAATGTGACACTGATACGTACCGCACTTCATCTTATGGCATGTTTTGCATAGCAGTAATCATCTTTTTATATGTTCAGTCATTTCCTCTTCCCAGACTCCGCACAGCGGTATCAGAGTCAAGATTGGAGAGGCTGTCGATTAATCTGCTCCCCTTTTATTTTCCAGTATGACATTTGATCGGTGGGAGGAAATGAGGGGATCTTCAGCGAAGGAGTCCTCTTCATCCGAGAAAGGAGCAGCCGGCTGCACATTCACACTCCCTTCCTCTGTCTCCGGGCCCCTGGGTCTGCACATCATCCCACAGAAGATCTACCAGAAGGCCACAGCTCGGTCTCTCCTGCTTTGGTCTCTCCTGTATTGGTCTCTACTGCCTCGGCCTCTCCTGCCCCTCCTACAGACTCTGATTTAATTCCCATATGTCAAGAGCTGATTTTTTCTACAATGAGGGAGAAGCCTGAGAAAAAAAATTGTCTCCCACTGACAGTTTATTCTGCATTTTTGCAAGTTTAACCTGTCAGATGAAAAATATAAAAACTGTCCATTAAAACTGACAATTCAACCAAAATGATTAGACACGAATCAAGATGCATTTCTCTTATTTGTGATGCAGGTAGATCAATATCATATAGTTTCAGGTGCTGCTTTTGAGGGCACGGGTGGGGGATGTGCTGCACATGATCTTTGACCTCTGAGGAGCTGGTGTGACCCTGGCAGCAGGTCAGCATGTCTGCTTGTACGCTTCACAGCACATTCTTGCATAACAGTTTGCCAGTTACCTGGCATCACTTTTCTAAATACTATAGAAATAAACAATGATTGGCTGCAGAAATAAATTCAAGCAACTTACATAATCATTGGTATGTAGATAATTTATCAGTTAAAATGACCTATGTGAAGCATTCTCTGGTGAAGAGCCTTGTGCAGTGGTTAAATTAAATCAACCCGCAAAAAACCCTGCAAAGATACAGCTAATTGTCAAAACTATAGACATCATTTCAGAACTAAACTGTCCAGATGAGGGGTATGTTTACATAGCCACTGATTTGATAAGTCAGATGCACAGGGTTGGGGGACACCCTGAGCAAGATTCCAGTCCATCATAGGGCATAGGGCTGGGGTACACCCCAAGCAAGATGCCAGTCCATCACGGGGCTGGGGGACACCCCAAGTAAGATGCCAGTCCATCATAGGGCATAGGGCTGGGGTACACCCCGATCAAGATGCCAGTCTAAACACACACTTATTTACATACACATTCATACACTATGGGCAGATTAGGAACATAATATATTGTGTATTTCATTTCCAAAATTGTAAAGCTATTGCAGGACTGTACATAATTAAGCTTGTTGTGTAAAATATGCTATACAGATAATAAAGAATAAATGCTAAGCTAGTTACTGGATTAGTTACTGGATCTTAAGAATCTTTGTTGTTTGACTGGGTTTATCTGCAGGTATATCAGAGTATATCAGACTGAGCAACACATCAGTTCAAAAGTTAATTTTGCTATCGATGAATAAGACACAGACTCATGTTCCTTTGACAAGGCTAATTGCCATCTATTCTGCTGGATTTTCCTCCACCAGTCATTTGTTTGTTTTTGGTTATCTCCTGCACCTTTATTAACATTGCCATGTATAAAATCAACCTTGGCCTTTTATTTTCAGAGTTACAAACAGGCACAGATGGTGGTACTGATGTGGGGCCACAGGGGTTGCATAGCTGTGTTGTTGGAGGAGGGGGTAGACTGCAGGGGGGGCTGTCCTCTCACACTCACTGCCCACCCCCCAAAACCCTTCATGCCAAGCGCAAACCGAGAAGTCCGGAGGATCCGATATTCCGATATGTAATCCTGTCAGCAGTGGTCTCTAAATATAGCAGATGTCTGCAGTGCTGGCACAACGCAGGACAGACTGCAGTTGATAGAAACAGACCACAAATTAAATTTAATCCATGAGCGACGTTTGATGCCGACGAAGACGGCAGACCCACAATGTGTTTAGCCTATAATTAACACAGTAAACAGATACGAGAGTCAATTTTCAACCAGCAGACTTTAATGTCATCTACGCCTCACGCCAAACCTTTATTTATTTACGTTTGCATGTGTTTTTTGGAGCCACGTTGGACGTGTCACCTGCTGCCCAGAAGATAGCGATGGCACACCCCGTGAGTCAGGAAGAGACGGGACAACTGTCAGGAATGCGCTAGGAAATCCCAATTTACCCAAGTAATCCTGCCTGAAAGAGGGAGTCATTAGCACCGCGATGTCTTACGCCAGTCAGCTTCAGCCAATGTGATTACAGGCGTTTATTATTATTATTATTATTATTATTATTATTATTATTATTATTATTAAGAGTGACTTCAATGACAAGGACAATAAGAAATACCATGCTTAAATCAGAGTTTTTACAGAAATTCGTATACAGCTTTATTTTAAATGTCTTCTTAGTGTCAACAAGAATTTACAGTATGCTTACTGGCTCTGTCAAGTGCGCCGCTGGGTATGGCGAAAAACGTGAATCACGGGGAATTGTGAGTACAGGCAGTCCCCGGGTTGAGAATGTCCGACTTACGAACGAGCTGCCATAAAGCCTATTATGTAAAAAAAAAAATCGAGGTTAAGTATAGTGGTATGCAGTATTCTGTGACGCTCATGAAAACATTGCGTGGCTTCAGCAATTCGTCGGCTTAAGGTTCAGTACGGTATGTAGTTACTGTTATTATTACTGAATTATATATAATAATAACAATTATAACAACAGCAATAATGTTAAGCATGTGGCTCAGTGGGTTAAAGACTCTGTGGCTGTGATTAGAAAATTGCCAGTTCGAACCTGGCCTCAGCACATCTGATGGCCCTTCAACACGGCCCGTAGCCCCCGCCTCCCTGGGTGCCGCTATGAGCGGCTGACTTGAGCAATTTGGGGGAGGCGTAAAGGGAATTTCGTAACCTGAGGACAGCCTTTTACGCCGTCTCAGCATTAGTGAGGATTTATTCTAATAAGCAAGTTTTTTTTAATCACTTATTTCAATGTATTTATTTTTAATTAATAAATTTAGATGGACTCCTAATACATTTTACTGTCTGTTGGAAAATTACTCTGTCCGGACGAGCCCGGCGTAGTTTGTCCTCGCAGGCTCCCGTACTTCGGGCTCGCGCACGGCGCGTCGCTCAGCAATGACTCGGGGACTGTCGTTTGAGAGAAAATGGCGAAATAAGGGAGATTACTGAAAAACACACAAAGATATTAGTTACAGAAAAGGCAACTGGCTGACGCGCTGATTTTTCTGAGATACAGTTCTCGGCAGACTCTTGGCGGATTTTTTTTCTGCGTTTGAAGGAAGTGCTTTGCGCATTTTGGAAGCTGAGCCCTGGTTGCCCGTGCAGCGCTGAGGTACTGTCCATGGCGGCCTTGCGGGTCACCACACACGGGACGAGTCACTGCGATGTCAACTGGCGCCAGATTTCATTAGTTACCTAAGTGAAAGCAGGTGGCTATCGAGTAAAGGGCGAAATACGGTACGGGCTGGTATATAAAATCCCGATATTCGCCAGATTTTCCCCTTTTTAAAGACTTCCCTGACATTTCTCTACATCTGGGCGTTCATTTTCTAGGTGCTAATCGTCTTTGTAGTAATGCAGTTTTGCATATGATTGTTTATTAACAAATGTTGGAAAGTCGCTTGCCCATGGCTTGTATCTGTATAAATAAACATCATTTTGTCACCAGGGGCCTGTACTACGAAGTGGAGTTACCGGCTTATCGGGGTAAATTGTCGGATTTAAGGTAGTCTGGGCAAAATGTAAGTGAACGAATATGAAGTCTATTTAAACTGTGGTCAGGGTGTCCGCGGGGTTTTAAAAAGTATTAAAAGGTATTACACGCAAATTTACGAGGTATTAAATTTTAGATGTAGATTTTTTTCATAGTCATCATGGGTAAGTGCAAATTTGCACGCAAGTGGTTAGAGGACCCGGCGTTTAAGGACTGGCTAAGGCCGGTAGCAGGAAAATATCGAGAGGGTTACTGATCGGTTTGCAAAAAAACCCCATAAATATCATCTGGATGGGGGTTAGCGCTCTCTGGTCGCATATGCGATGCACAACTCATAAATCAGGAATGCATGGATGAGAGCAGTTAATCAACTGCTGCAAATCGACAAACTCATTGAAGAAAAAGCCAAATAATTAAGGCACTTGCCATGAATAGCCTAGTGGATAAAGATATGGACTTGTGACTGAAGAAGTTAAATGCAAGATGTTTTCAAAATCACAGTCACTAAATTTATTCTGTTGACCCATGTTCCCTATTTAAATTATGTTGTACAGGCCAAAATTGTGTAACATTATAAATTTTTAAATCAGTTTGAAACTTGTTTTAAAACGGTTGCAACTCAATGCTGTGCGGGTTTTAAAAAATATTGAGAAAGTATTTAAAAAAGGTATTAGAAAGTGTTAAATTTAACCTCTGGATTTCTGTATATACCCTGTGTGGTACCTTAAATCTGAGAAGTTACCCCGATATGCCAGTAACCCTGCTTCGTAGTACAGGCCGCTGGTGTTACAGAAGATAGTCATGGTCCTAACGAATAGAATCCATCTATGACATTATGGCTGTATGACCTTATAGCAGACGAGATCCCAAAAGCCAGACTTTCAGATGTACGATGCTTCGTCTGACAATGTCAAGAGAAAATAACTGCTAAGCACGTTCAGGCATTAAAACAGCATTGATTATTTCCAAGTGCTGAGGAATTAAGTGAGACGTCACGCTAACACTAGGTGAAGGATGCTGCTTTAGCAGTTACTGGAATCACCCTTCACAAACAGTTAAGCATTTGTGTTTGTTGCGTTTTCATTGTGTTGCGTTTGGCCAGCGGTGGGACCATGGGAAACACCAGCAGCGAGAGAGGCAGCATGGGGCACGGCGACAAAGCCCACCGGCGCGACAGCCGCGGCCATAAGGAGGGCGACAGGCCCAAGATCCTGATGGACAGCACCGACGATGCCTATATCTTTCAAGGGGTGGACATCAAGGTACATTTAAAGAGATGTCCGATCGCTGTGACGCTGGGTGAGCACAGTACGCATGGGTGAATGGAAGGAATACGGATGCTAAGTTTGATTACGGCATTTCATTTACTTAATGGACCCTATTGTCACACCAACATATAGTCTCAAAATAACAAATCATGCATATTGATTGTCTTCTGCGCCTCCGTCTGTATTTGCATTTACGTGTAGCTGTGTTTCGTACCCGGGTAGGCTCCGGCAGAGAAAGACGAGTACCTCGCCTGGCAACAGGACCTGGAGGCTAACGACAGAGGTCCCACTCAAGCACGGCCTACCGTGTTCCGCTGGACTGGCACCGGCAAAGAAGTATTCCTGTCCGGATCCTTCAACAACTGGGCAAATAAGATCCCCTTGAACAAAAGGTACGCCTGGGCTACCCAAGAGTGAAATACTGACACCTCTGCATTCTTGCTGTGTGCGTGTGTGTGCGTGTGTGTGCGTGTGTGTGCGTGTGTGTGTGTGTGTGTGTGTGTCATTTGTTCACCACCAGGGGGCAGCATACATTGATTAGGCATCACTGATTTGTCCAGTGCTGCTACAACCATTTGCAGATCTGGCACATACAAACTCTTTTATCACTTTCCCTAGTGTGCTTTATGATGCATTGTTTTTCAGAAGCAGCATTTGTAAAATATTCAGTGTAATGAACTCCTCATACAGCATCTTTGTCAGCTTGAGCATGTCTCTGGAGAGAATATTTCTTTAGGCTTAGTTCTGGCTTTTCTGCTTCTCAGCCAGAATAACTTTGTGGCCATAGTGGATTTGCCTGAAGGGGAACATCAGTACAAGTTTTATGTCGATGGACAGTGGACCCATGACCCGAAAGAGGTGAGCGCACAGCAGTTTTCAGAGGGTGTAGCTTACTGCCCGAGGGTTCTAGGTTCAACCCTAAGGTATGGAAACCAGGGCTCCCCACCTATTTGGAATGTTTCATTAGCAATATAAATCTTCCTGGCGGGGGTGGGGGGGTTATCATTTATCCGTTTGCCGGATTCAGTTGTATTTTGTTTTGCCGGTTCGTGGTCACTAATCAAAAGGTAAAATCCATCTCTGGATTTTACCATCTCTGTGAATGGTCCAAATAATATGGGCTCAAAGTTTTCACTGTTGTGTTTATTATTTGTAATCTACAATAGTGCACAGTAGTGAGAATACAGCATGATGGTGAAAAACACAAGTACAGCAGGAAGTGAATAGGGGTTCAAATATTATAATGTTAATAATAAAAATTAAAATGTTTTATGCTGATACTTGATTACTTTCTGTTCAGCCTGTTGTAACCAACCATCTCGGAACTGTCAACAACGTCATCCAAGTGAAGAAGACCGATTTTGAGGTGTTTGATGCACTTATGGTGGACTCACAGAAGTGCTCGGATATTTCCGGTGGGTGAGATGGCTTTTTGGTACATTACAAACACTTATTTCCCCCATAACGATAGTCGTATTGTAACGCACAAAAGTTAGTAATATGTATAAATTCGGCGTATCTTTGTTTATTAAATTCAGTTAGCGGAGCACGCCACATACTACTATTTTGGTATGTCATGGAAGCTGTAAGCACTGAAGTGGCGGTGAAGAAAGGGACAGATCAGCAGCCATAACATCTGTTTTTAAAAGGGGAGATATTGTGAATAAACCAGGTAAAAAGATGTCGGTGGTGTGGTGGTACTCAGTAGCAGTTTGAAGTTTGACAGGTTTATTAAACATAAGAATATGCCGAATTTATACAGATTACTAACTTTTGGGCTTCACGATATGCCTCAGAGTAATATTTTAGGTGTACTACTAATCCACTTAGCAAATTGTGGGTGTAAGTAAGCATCCCTATAGCAACAAAAAGCCGGTGATCGGACAAATATTTATGCCCATCATTGAAGGCCCTGGAATCGCCTCACATTTTTCAGCACTAATTTGTGTCTGTTGACACACTTGATTGGTAGATAAGTTCTATTTCACTAGTTTATTTTGGGTAGTTTTCATTTCCTTTTTTGTTTTATAGATATATTTGCATTATAATACGTTCAAATATTTGAAATATATACATCACTATGTGATATGATGCACCCTACTACACGTGTTTGACTGTGCCAGAGGTTGGAATGATTCTGTGGATGTTAACCAGCTCTTTAATAATACAGACATAGAGCTGTGGTTCAGGATAAAACACAGAGCCCCGGCGAGAGCCGGTAGGATCCACGCAGGGAAATTGTGCCATCGCCTACCCCATCTTACTCTCCATCACACACGTGTAGGTGAGAGCGAGCTTGGCAGTGAAGGGCAGCCGTCTGCAGCAGGGCCCATGGAGCTGGGGGTTAAGGGCCTCGATGTGACTGTTCTGCCAATGCCAGGCTCAAACTGGCAACCTTCTGATTACAGGCACAGATTCTTACCCCGCTGGGCCACATGCTGCCCCCATCTGCTGCTTCTGTTGACCTGAGCCCATGTGCACCTCCACAGAGCTATCCAGTTCCCCCCCGGGGCCATACCAGCAGGAAGCCTACGTGTCCAAGCCTGAGGAGAAGTTCAAATCCCCCCCTATCCTCCCCCCTCACCTTCTTCAAGTCATCCTCAACAAAGACACTGGCATCTCTGTGAGCTCCGCCGTCCTCTCTTCATCACTGATAAAGTTTTTTTGGTGCTTTTTATCTTTTATTCTATACTAAGTGTATTTCAAACCTTGTAGTTTTGATCTTTTAAAACTTCTAAGATGTTTTTTTTTATTAACAGGCATTTTTAAATCTATAGGTATGTGGACCAGTGCCCCCTGCTTGTTAGGGAGTTCCACTGCATGCATGTCTGTATGTTTACCATCTGCCCTAAGAGTAGTGTGTCTGACTCCGCCTACTCTATTTTAATAACAGTGTGACCCCGCCCTGCTGCCAGAGCCCAATCACGTGATGCTCAATCACCTGTATGCCCTCTCCATCAAGGTGAGGCCAGATCTGCATTTGGGCTGTAAGAGCTGCTCTTGAATTAGATGGATTTTTCAACATTTTCAAAAACAGAAGTTTGAGCCTGATAGCAGTGCTGCCCTCTGGTGGTCCCGCTGCTCATGTCTGCTCTGCCTTCATTGTCTCCCCTCAGGATGGCGTCATGGTCCTGAGTGCTACTCACCGCTACAAGAAGAAGTATGTCACCACCCTGCTGTACAAGCCCATCTGAGCCGCCGACGTGTGCATCCTCTCTACATTCTCTCACTTTTTACTTCCTGTTTCGTTCAGTATGGATAAGTAGACCTTTGTTATTTATCTGTTCTTCGTTATGTGCCGACACCAAACGACTGCCTGCCTGTCTCTCGCGTCGTTTTTGTGTCACCTGGCTGAGAGGTGGGCAGTGGGGGCAGAATGACACTGGGCTCATTTTCTGAAATTACAAACCAATCAGATGAATGTACTGGACTGCACTGCCTCCCTGACCTTCTGTAACTCCCGGCGCAAGGCGTCCCGTCCTCCGCTGATTCTTCAGTGGTGTTTGGTGTATGAAGTTTCTTTAGTATCTGTGCACAGTAGCTGACAATGGTGGAAAGGGAGGCACATGACACAGGTGGTGGGGGGGAGGCTGACAGACTCTGGGGATGGGGGGGTGACAGCAGAGGGGGGTGAAAACAAGGCAGCCTTTTCAGCACCGGCATGACGGAAAACGCAAGGGGTCATGTCCCGAAAAGGGCTGCCACTGGGTGTGGGGGTGGGTGTTGGGTTGGGTCCCCTGAAAGCAGCAGCCGTTAGGAATGGGGATGAGCTGCCCCCACCCACCCATACACACACACACACACACACACACATTCCAGGGTTCCTTTCTCACTATCATCCAGGTGCCTTAATTTTGCTGTCCCACAGATGGGGGCTTCCACAGTAAAGTAGTCAGATCCATCATTTATTATCCAGAGTGACACCAGGCAGGCGGTAGGTTGTGTCCCCAGCTGGAGCATGCTAGATCTTTGGTGTATGGGAACCTGAAAGGGAGAAACCAAATGTGCCTGGGTGGGGGGGGGGGTGACCGTCTTTTGTATTGTCTATAACTATGCAGTGTTCAGAATGAATGGTCTTTTGTAAATTTGTAAGGTCCATAAGGAGTAATGGTGAATGTACTGTACTTTTTGCGTTCTTCACATTTCATGGTGGGGTAAATGAATATTACAATTAATACTTGTATTAAATCACTGACACCATCATGGCTGCTGCTGAGTGTTTAGTTTTTCTTCCAACTTTTTCTGGTATTTCAGCTCTGACTAGCTGGTGTCAAAATTGTTGTTCAGCATTCTGCTGTAGTACCTAAATTCAGCAAGAGTTTAAGTGACCCTGTGCGTGTGTGCACGTGCACACTCATATTCACACTCAGCCATGCTGCTCCACACACATATTCACACTCAGCCATGCTGCTCCATATTCACAATCACTCATTCTGCTATACACTCACTCATGCTGCCCCACACTCACACTCAGCCATGCTGCCCCACATTTAAGCTCCACACTTACTCACACTTAGCCATGCTGTTCCACACTCACACTCACTCATTCTGCTCCACACTCACACTCGTATGCACCCATGCATAACAGATTTAACTTTATTGCCAAAATTGATTGGTTACTTTCTACAGTACCCACCACATTATCTGTTTCCATATAATCTGCTGCACATTGTGAATATGTAAGATAGTTATGTGAATCACTGAGAATACAGAAAAGCTGTTTGAGGCAGGCTGTCATGGATCACACCAGCACCACCTCAGTGTTGCTCTGCTCTTGGGGATGTGGCTTCATTTGCAGTAGATGCTCTTGTCCAGGTTCTTGTTCTCTGGGTTGTATGTGTGCTGGGAGAAGCAGAAAGCTGCAGCCTGGTCACAGTCACACACGGTAGCCTGGCAGGCATTATTAGAGGCTGTGGGAGGCATTTGGGTTAAAGCATCATTGGATGTTTTTTATAGGAGGATGTGTATTGTGCCCCTGGTGGACAATATTATAGATGTGACACTTTTCATTGTACAAGTAGTTAATGTGTAGAATTTTATACAATGCAAAATGCGTATAAAGACTTAAGTTCTTTCTGTAATCATTTATGTCAAACACTTTTCCCGTCTTAGTCCCATGCGCGCGCACACACACACACACACACACACACTAGGACACGTCTCTTTGTTTGTTACCTGAGCATTCGACCTGAGAAGCAGTGCAGGTGTAGTCATACTGCTTGGTGTATGGCACATCCACCAGGGGGCGACATGCTGGATTCTTCCTGGCGGCCTGGTAGCAGAGGTCATGGGCATTGCAGCACCTGAAGAAGAGTTAAGGAGCATAACCGGAACTAGAAGGTGAAGCAACCAGTGAATTTTGTGGCACCTTTTTTGCCCAATAGTAGTAGGAACAGTGTATTTCTTTACTGCTACTCCAGCCCTCACCGCACCACTTCCTCACTTTCTGAACAAAGAGCTTCACCCTGTAGGGGTGATAAATGACCTGTCCACTCCATCCCTTGGGGTTCCGGAGCCCCCAAAGCCACACCAGCAGCCGTAGTTGTTGTAGAGGAAGGGGTTGACTCCTGGCTGATAGCACTGGATCATGCTTCCAAACTGCCACAGAGCGAAGGGCACCTCGGCGCCAAGGGTGCCGTAGGCTGTGAGGTGGGCAAGAGGGGGGCAACACAGGGTCATCAGTTAAATTAGATGCCCCTCCATCCGCCACAAGTATGCGCCAAAAAGCATGAAGGTCTCCCAGGACCTCAGGAGGAAAGGATCGGCCGGTCTCACCGAAGAGGAGCGCCGCCAGCAGGAGCAGTGTGGCCTTCATGGTGACCCGTGGGGAGATCGCAGCCCTTTGGAGCCAAGCTCTTAAATAGGAGACAACGGAGAGAGGGAGATAAGAGGAACGGGGGGAGTTGGGGTAGCGCTATGGGCGGCTGCTGGACGGGGGGTTGGAGACCTTTCCACAGAGGCCCGTCTGTGACGAGCCCAAGGACCCAGATATGCAATAAGGTGGATGGATGGTATTAAGATACATTTTGCAAACATGCCAGAAGTGAATGCTTTCACAAAACGTCCACACTGGGCCTGCGCCAGGGCAAGTTCCTCACATCAGCCAGTGAGAGAGTGCTCCTCTGATAGCACACACTGTTAATGATTGAAAGCGTCCATTTCACCTTCTTCAGTGTGTGTTAAAATAATTGTTTGCTAACAAAGTCTTGTCTTCATAAATGTCTAACCAGTTACTGTCAGCTCAGGAATGACTGAAAATGAGCAAAAATAAATAAATGCACAAAATGATTCAAATCTTCTGCTCAAGCATGTCAGGAGGGTCTATATTTTTAACTGTTTCCCATTTTATCGAGCAGTACGGTTTTCTTTCTGCAGGATGTAGGTTTCCATGTATCTGAAGAATGTATATCTAAAATAAAAATAACAGTGCCTTCTGGCATGGAAATCCATCACCAAGGGGAAAAGCAAAGAGCTCTCTGCTGAAAAGAGAGAAATTATCGTTGCCCTGCAAAGATCTGATAATTACAAAGTAGCACCAGACCAAAAATCTATGAAGTTTAGGTGCCTGGGAACACTGCAAATCTGACATGAAGAGAACATGTGCCTGTTCCCCCCCATGTACAGTAAGGAGGAAGAATTGAGAGGATCTTGGGGTTACCGGGTTTAAGAAGAAACTGTTAGACAGCACCACCATATCAACAAGCCATCAGGAAGGGCTGCACAGACAAAGCCTTGTTGAGCACAACCTGTACATGGCAGTGCCTGAACTTTGCTAAGCATCTGTAATTTACTGTACAAGGCGAATTGTTTATTTTCAGTAACTCTTGAGGTTTATGTAATCTCCACCTTATCGCTTTTTCCACCAGAAGGACACCAGAGGTTAGGAATACCAGCGGGGCTGGGAGGGCGGTGAGTTTCCCTACCGTAATTCCCATGGTGCAGACACTCGGTATGGTTGACCTGATCTTCTATAAAAGGGCACTGCCCACTCACAGAGCTGTGGGAACCAATCACCTGCGCAGATTCCCACGGGCCTAATCCAATGTTTACCTGACTCCAAGCAAGCACGTGTTGGGGAACATTTTAAACTAGATTTGAGAAAGCACTTCTTTACTAAGCATGTAGTTAGAGTATGAAACAGTCTTCCTGTGGTGTAAGCTAAAACCTTGGGTTCCTTTAAACCAGAGCTATTTATTGAGTTCTCCCCAAATTAATTTGATGGGCCTAATGTAAATTTTGTTCATTTGGTTCTTATGTTCTACCATGTTGCTGTGCTTCTCGGGGATCATTAAACCCCGTCTCTGCACATGTGTGTATGCTTGCATGCATGTGCTTGTGCAAACATATGTCTTTCCTCATACATCTTCTGGTGGACAATGACCCATGGGAGACACAGGGTGCATGAAACATTCCCTGGGAGGGCAAGGTTTTTTTTAATGAAAAAGAGACAAAGGTTCGGGGGTTGGGGGGGGGTCTTCCTTCATCAGGTGGC